TTTTTGAGAACCCTTAGGTCTACACACCATCGATTTCCAAATACAATTTGAATTGACATTACCTTAGACTTGAACCTAAAAATGTAAAAAACTGTGATGAAAGATTCAATTTCTTTACTAATCGCATCGTCAATGGATCGAATGCGGTACCTACAGACGCTATAAGTACAGAATTAGTTAACTTGTTTAATGATAGTGTTGAGAAATTGAAACTCAATATAGAAAAATGATCGGACACACAAGTGTCTTTTCTTTCAGCATGGAAGTAACAGGTGGCGCATTTTATCATCAATATACATACATGTAATGTATGCATATACTTTTGATTTCTGAAATATATAAACTCAAACTCACATGAACAGGCCCTTAGAACAACGTTATATATTCGTTTTGCAAATTTGTCCGAGCTTTAATTCTTTATTACTTATAAATATACATTTAGACGCAAATTAATGTAATAAATTAAATATTTTAGAGTGATTTAAAGAATTTCGAAAGTAAAAAATTATTTCGATACTGTTTTTATGATTTCGATAATATCAAAGTATTTCGGTGCAAATTACAGAGATTCAAAAGTGAAATATTGCTTCGGTGTCATTTTTAAAATTTCGATCGAATAAAATTTATTCGATACAAATAAGAGGTGATAAAATGTTTCGGTGCCATTTTTAGAATTTCGATATTATAAAAATATTTCGATACAAATTATAGAGTTTCGAAAGCGAAAAATAATTTCAGAGCTATTTTCCGGATTTCGACAATTAAAAAATGTATTGAAAGAATATCGTAAATTTCCTAAAGCGAAATTCATTTCGGTTCAAAATCAAGTAATTAGAAATCGTTTCAAACTTACCGAAACAAAAATAGAGTTTCGAAAAGTTTTTTTTAGTTGAAAACTCAACTTTTGCAAAAGTGATCAGCCCTAATAAAAAAAAAAAAAAATATATAGACACTGTAATTAATCTATAGACCTGTTTAAAGCATTGTGGATATCAGGTCGTGGATGATTCGATTAAAGAGTTCAAATCTAGGGATAAACTTTCGTTTGTTTTTTAGTATATACGCAATTTAATTTTTAAAGTTTGTTCTACTATATATTAAAAAAAAGTTTATTTCACCAGATGCTAATGACGCTAAACTGCTATATTTCTTTCGTTCACCCTGATATTTTTGATACCAGTATCCATTATACCATACACCATTTTTGGAACGTATCGTTCTTTTTTTTTTTAGAAGGTTTTAGAAACCAAGCGTCACTTTTTTAGCCGGCTGGGAATAAACACAAAAGAGTTTGTTATTGAGTTGAAAATATATTTACTTTTGTCATAAAGGTAAAGCATGCCATTATTTAACACCGTCTCACAGTGGGCCGATATTAGATACAATTATTTGGATCTTTTTTTATTTTTATTAAAAACCTTTAAATGACATATTGTAAATATGTCATTTATTGGGTTTTATAAATATAAAGTCATCTATACTATTAATGGTTTTATAAATGTATAGTAATTTATATTATAAATATAAATGACTTTATATTTATAATGTGATTGTTCGTCATTTAAAGGGTTTTAGTAAAAAAAAAAGATAATTTTGTCAAAAAATTTTGTCAACTTTGTCTAATATTCGGCCCACTATGGGACAATTTTAAACATCTCCCCACAGATGTCATACCTTTTTTGTTAATTTATCCCAATCATGTATGACATTCTATTGTTTGTTGCTTGTTATCTCAAATTATTTCCCTAAAGGCGTTGAATATCGTAAATTTTTTTTGGCTTAAAAAGTTTAAGTTAAGATTTTATAGTATAAAATTCTAAGTTCTGCTTTGGAAGTCATGATTTTATTTGAGTTGTTATCCCAAAATACCGTGTAATAAAATACCGTGTAATAAAATACCTCGTAATAAAATACCACGTAATAAAATACCGCGTAATAAAATACCGCGTAATAAAATACCGCGTAAAAAAATACCGCGTAATAAAATGTTTTCCTTACGCAATATTTTGCGGACTCTATAATTATTTTTCTTTTACTTATAGTCGTTTTCTTTTAAGTCGTACAGTTTTTATGGACAATTCGTTTTATTAATTTAGGTACATTTTTTATTTTTCCGTTAGTCGCTTTTTTTTTCTCTTATATATTATTTACCAAGTCTTTAGATTTTAGAAACGAGCTTTACTGAATTATACTTTTCATTAATTTATTAGTTTCAAATAATTAACATGAGTAAACCTTTTTTTAGAGAGTCTCCGAAAATATTCTCTTTATTGTTATTATTATATTTAAATTATTGCTTTTAAATTCAAAAAGGTTCCCGACCTCTGCAATCATAAAGTTTTAATTAATTATTGAGTAACCTCCTGTGTATAGAAAAACCTTGTTAAAGCTAAAACCCCCTGTTTTAATAAAAGAATAAACTCGTTAAAAGATTTTAATTATCTAACAATTGTGGGAGTTAGTATAATTCATTTTATTTTTAGTTCTATAATTAACAGTCTAGCATTTTTCTTATACGGCAGCTTAATAAACTTTTGTTTTTTAATTTAACTTGTGTGTGCATAAAGAAAATTGTAACGTGATTTTTTTTTAAGAGTTTTTAAACTTCAGTTAATTCAATATGCTTACAAACTAAATAACTTTGACAATAATGAAATCAGAGATTTCAATGATCAGGTTAATGGTACTATCTCTTTGTACTTTTGTAAGTACAAATGCTGATGCAACGGATACAGTAAGTTTTTAATTTACTTCATTTACGTTAATTACCCATTTTATTACAAAAAAGTTTTAGTTTTAAAAACATAAACCCAATATCAATCGTTTAGAGCAAACGTTGTTCTGGGTAATGATGTTTAAATATGACTCACTTATCTTAATAAATGCATTTTGCCATAATAACTATAAAATGAGCAAAATATATTTTTAACCACAAGCATCCTTTTAAGCACAAACAAACAAGTTTTTATGTTTTACTGAGAGATTTATAAATCAAACCCCCGATAATTTTTTAAATAATTTTTTATAATTTTATAATAAATAATAATTTTTTTAATAATACAATTAAGACTGTACCATTTTAATTACTTTTTAATTAAATAAATTTAATTTTGCTTAATTAAGATAAAAAATAGATTTCTGTTTAAATTGTTTTACACTTTATAAAAATATAGTGGGCTAACAACCATAAATCTTATATTTCGGTTAAGACCACTAGTTCTATATAATGAAATCTTTTAATAATGAGAAAAATTAATTTTTTTCTTTTTATATTTGTTGATAGTTTTGCTAAATACTTATATTAGAATTTTATATTTATTTGATTATGTGTGTTAACATTTTTTAAGTAACTTTTATGTTTATGAAAACTTTTAACTTTGGTGTTTAGAAAGTAATTTTTAAACAAATTTTAATTAATAACTTTTGCGTCATTTGTACAAAAAATTTAATCTGTACAGATTTACCTGTAATAATCTGTGATATTACGCTTCTGTGTTAATCTGGGTATTAACTTGGTATGACGCTTGTCATATCAAATCTAATTAATCTTTTTAAATTTCGGCTTTACTCAGCCATTCTCGGTCATTCTCGGCTATACTCGGACGTTCTCGGCTATACACAGCTTTGAAACTTTCTTTAATACTATTAATCTGTTGAATCAAAGAAAATAGATTTTGTTTTAGAGGTTTGATAGTTCACGCAACGGCGATCATTTTTTTGTGAGCATTTTAATTGGATATTATTAAACTTATTACCCAGAACACAATTTTTTTATTGCAGAGCTTATCATAGCTTTTTTAGCAACAATAAGCTCTTAAAAACATCATTATCAAACCACGCGTTGGTTAATGCGTGGTTTCATAATGATGTGTTTTAGAACTTTAAAAAATGTAGGTGTACATAGGTGTCTATTCATGATTCCGTTAAGTATGTTAACAGAATTAGATGTAATTTAAACATTTTAAAATGTTTTTCTTGTTGCATTCCCGCCATTTGATATTTTAAAGCTCATCGGCATGAAGTTAACAGGAAGGATGAAAAAATGTTTTAAAAAGGTTTTTGTCTGGTAATTTTGTAGTGAATATGGTAACATATTTATAAAAAGGTTTTTTACGACATCCAAGAAAGTTGCAGTCATTTTAATATTTCCTAAATATTTGTTAAAAAATTTGAATGCTCTGCTGCTTATATTTACAACACATTTTTTACAATATTAAAAACTGATAAAAATGTTAAAATTTTCAATAATAATCTAGACCAGACTAATTTACAAATATCTATAAAACCAAATTTTATAGACATGTGTACAACTTTATTGTTTAAAACAAAATTCTAAAAAAACCAAGAGCTTCTTTACTTTGTTTTCAATTATAAAGGAACTAAATTCTTAAAACAATAAAGTTTCTTTCTTTCCAGATAATATAAGTAATAAATATGGATGACTCACTGACAAACCAGCCTATACAACGAATATTTTGAAATGAGATAGTTAGACGCAAATTTTTAAAGTTTTTAGCAGAAACCAAAAAAATTAAAAGTAATTGCAATTCAGTATAGAATATTAGTATTTGCAAAGAAACACTATATAAATAATTTTTTAATATAAATTAAAATTTTAAACTTTATTGTATAGGCAGGTTTGGTGCTTAACCACCTATATAGCTGCAGCGCTATATTTCACGCGAAACCATTTTTTTACTTTAAACAGATTTTTTTTTAGTTTTAAAATTAGAATTTTATAACTAAAAAAAAATTATGTTCATATGCGTTATAAAAAATTATGTTTATCAATATGTGTTTCAAAAAAAATTATGTTCATATGTGTTATAAAAAAATATGTTTATCAATATGTGTTTCTAAATTTTCGCCGATATAAACATTTAATATTCATATTAGAAAAAGAAGTTTAAAATTGTTGATTTATTTGAGAAGACATTGCTTAACGCTTACCGAGCTGCTCATCCTGCCTCAACGGAGTAAGTTGAGTAACTGTGTGGGGGCAATTAGAGCAAACAATGACTAAAAGAATATGCATGATATAGAACTTGGATAAATCATCAATAAAACTCTCATTAACAATAAGTGTGTCTATAACTTATAATTTTTGTATTTTAAATGCTTTAATGACGTAAGGGAAGAAAAAAAATTTAATAGTAAGAAGGTGTCATAAAATATAAAAATATTATTTTATACAATTATGTTGAACTTTGTAACCCGCTTTAAAAAACAATATTTTAAAAAATATATAGAGTTATAATGCCGATTGTAACATACCAATTTTATTTTATAAAAAAATATTATGTGAGATAAAAACAATATAGCATATTATTATCAACATGTAATACTTTAAATATATATTTAAAGTATTTCGTGTTGATAATACTATGCTTTACTTATTTTTTTAAATATTACGTGTTGATAATAAAAAAGAATATCCTTTATAAAACAATTTCTTTTTTAAGGCAGTATGAACCGTAAAAAAGTTGCTGTAATTAATTTTTTGGTCTCCTAATGATGAATACTTGATTTATTTTAAGCGACAATTTATTATATTAATTTATACAGCATTTTTTGATGTTTAAGTTAACTTCCAGACATATAAAAGTTTGGAACAAACTCCAAACTTTTTTATGTTTATACTTTTGTCAAATAAAGATGTTTTACAAAAAGTTACGATGATTAGAACCTGGGAACAAAAAACCCCTAATATTTTGGTCACAACTGCCCAAAACATGAGAGCAACAAGTTGATAAAATATTTTATGTACTTATCTTTAATACATTTATTAATAAATTTTAAATTTCATACAATAATAACTTAGCGCTCAAAAGTTATGCCAATTTTAAGTTTGACCCCCCTCAATTTGAGGGGTTAAAAATTTTGACCAGCATTATCTTTCAGCTTTTGCATAACTTGAGCTCTTTTTTTACTGATGTTTTTGCTTAAGCTCAGCATCACTTTGTAAAACGTTAATGTTAAAGTTTTTTTGTTTTTTTTTTGACTTTTTCACTCTGATTTTTGTTTTCTTTACCAACTTTGGAACTGGAAAGACATCTTCGAATTAGAATGAAATGACATCGCATCCTCAGCTGTTAAAGCCAGAGCAGGGTTTTTTCTTTTGCTAGCCTTTTGGTTTATCTCTATTCGCTTAACTTCTAAAAAATTATCCTCTCGAAATATTTTTCCTAGAACTGGACACAAGCCTGATACATAGAAGCCATTAACGGTTTTTTCTCCAGACCTTCAAGTATGTTTTTCCGAATAGTTCACTAACGTCAAAGTGTGTGACAGACCACTAATAAGTTTTCAAAAAGATAAGCTCTTCATTATAGAAATGCTTTTATACGGCCATTTACAGCCATTATAGGGCCATACCGATTTATCCAGAGGTTTCAGGTTGTATGTCGTATAGGGGTGGTAAACGTAAAACTGTAACACAATTCTCCCTAAAAGATACAATTACGTCTTAGTGTGGATGTGGTGACCGTTTAAAATGAGTTGGACAAGATTTTCTGCGGTTAGACAAACTTTTTTTTTTTTTAGTAAACTAGGGATCCTGGTTGAGCACCCTTTTAAAGCTGGACTTTAGTATTCTTTCTAGGAAAAATCATCAACCTGTACCTCTTGTACTCATGTACAGAATACAGTAAGAAAAGATCCTTTTTCGGCAGATGTAACTGCACCTATTTGACGTTTACTTTTTAATGCCACAACTTTGCGACATTTTCACAGAAATATACACACTCCACTCTCATCCACATTGAAATGCGCCGAAGCAGTAAGTTATGAGTGTCCATTAATTTTTCCAATAGATTTGATAAACATTAGTGAACACTCAAAATGTTTGGCAAATCCCCTGGATTAAGCCTCTGGTGTACCTAATAACTTCCTTATACTTATTATGTCTGCATGACCTCTTAAAATCATCTTAGCCAATGTTTATCAGCTGTTTTATGTAAAATCAAAAATTTATGAGGATCGTTATTCTGCACTGTAATTTGAAATGAAATGTGCCTCTTATCTTGTCCGGTGTAGTATGCGGTTTTACTCCCACGTTTTATTTACTCCCCAGTAAAAACCAAATATATAAAATTTTCACTGCTCAGTAAAAATCTCATATTTAATTTTGAGGCAAAGTGTATTTTTAAAACCAAACCACGTCGTATTTTGTGAATGTATTTAAACGTTTAAATTACTGTGATTTCCTTCAAAGCAAGAATCTTTTAATGCATTTGCAAATATATTTTTAAAAATTTACCAATGCTTACTGGAATTACCGACGTTAATAATTTTTTAAAAAAGAGTAAATATCCAAAAACAGCTAATATCATTAGTAAAGGTGATAAATCAAACTTTTGAAGAGAAACAAAGTCTGTAATTGAAGAAAATAAGTCAAATCATCTGGTGTTATAAATCTGGTAAATCTGGTGTTAAGTTAAGCCGTTTTATATAATTCTAGCTATTTATACTAGCGTGATTTGGGATAAATACATAGATTTTTATGTATTTATGTATCACGTTTTGCATGAGCATTTAGCAGCCGTAGCATAGTAGTTAGAGCATTGTATTCGTAATCCAGGGATTCTGAGTTCAAAAGCCTCTCGAAGCATATAAACGTTGGCAGTTAGGTTGGAAATGGATAAACTACTCATTAAATGTTAATTCCAATGATCATTGCTTTGTGATAAAAGTATGAAAAACCAAATAAACATTAAAAAAAAGAGGTTGTATGTT